ATGGATTGATTCGGTGACTGGGGTAATCGGGATGGGTGTGTCAGAGGCAGTGCGGTTGGCGCAGGATAGAGCAGGGTTTAGGGCTGATGTACATAGGGTCGCTATTTGTCGTAAACGACTCAACGGCATATAACAACAACAACAACAGCTGAAAATCTGCTAGAGGGTCAGCTGTGAGTGGTCTGTGGCTTGATGGCACACAACAACTATCTTCATAAACCTTGTAAATGTGGTGCAAAATTAGTCAAGTTCTTAATATATTAATTTCTTACATTGTATAAATTTGTTAAAAAAGAACAAATTAGTAAAAAAAAGGAAAGAGCATTTGAAATTATATTCTAAGACACTTTAAACAGACCTATACCTGGTTTTATGGCTCCTCTGTATGTTAGTCTTCTTTCAGCTAAGAAGCCCTGGTGACACAGTGCTAAGTGCTCAGCTATGACCTGGAAGGCCAGATAGGTAGTTTAATCCACTCACTCTCCAAGGTCAGAAGATGAGGCAGTCTGTGTTGGTAATCATTAGTCTCAGAAACACTATGGGCATTTCTGCTCTATCCTTTGGGTTGCTGTGAATCAGACCAACTCAATGACGAACTGGTTTTTGCTTCCCTCCTCCTCAAATGAGAATTCAGTTTCCAAGACTAAACTAGAAGGCTCACAGCAGACAACAGAGGAAATCAATAGCTGGGACTTCAAAATCTATACACACAGTAACAGATTCTATATAGTTTAATCCTGTCTAAAACATAAATGGAAAAGATCAAAAATAGTTGTTTTGTAATATATTGTTTTTACATGCAACTCTATGCATAATAGCTCTGAACCCTGTCCTAGCCTTAGCCAATCTCATTACCTCTGACCCACCTGTCCCAACTGCCCCAGGTCAATCTATCTCATCCAAGCGCTTCTTCTCTTCCACCCTTCCAAGCATGAAATTCTTCTCCAATGACTGGTCCCTCCTGGCCATATGCCCAAAGTATGTCAGATGGAGCTTCAAAGTCTTTTCCTCCAAAGAGCAACTTGGTTTTACCTTCTCCAGGAGAGACCTGTTTATTCTCTTGGCAGTCTGTGGTATGTTCAATATTCTTCTAGAGCACCACTATGTCTTCAACCAGTGACCAACCACACTTAAAAGCAATTTGTACTACACATAATGTTGCAAAATATAGTTTGCTCCTGTCATCATATTAGTAAGATTATATGTAATATTTTGAACCCACAGTGACAAAGATGGAACTCTTTAAGATACAGGTAATAAAAGAGAAAATGAAGGAACTTGATCAAGACTAAGTTAGATATATTAGATATACTATGCTGTCATTCTCTATAGCAAAGACATGAAAAACCAAGAGAAATAGGTACAGATGGCAACCCTGGATCCTGAGCATCAGGTTGGAAAAATAAAGAAACAGACTGGATATGG